TTTATAAACAAAATATTCGTCTAATCAAGTTCTGAAGCGCATTTCTGACGATTTGAAGTGTTTTCTCGAATGCACCATGACTAGAGTTAAAGCCTAAGCAGATCATACCTTCACCGGCGCATGCGTTACGGTTTTCAGTAAGCTCGAGAAGATTGATAAGATTGCCACAGCCAGGGTGATTTACTTGGAGTGTCTGAATTCTTCTTCATTTATGCTTGCAGTGCTTAATCACCTAACCCAACAAACAACGTAGCCAGCAGTAACCTTGCTTCTAATGCATGAGGAATATTGAAACTCCAAGGGTTATTCTGGCAACTGGCATGGAAGATGGAACACCTTTATAGATTACTTGACGTTATTATTATGAGACCAAAACGAAGACTTGGTTTACATCGGGCTGCCAACCCACTTTTGTTTTTTTTTGTAAAAAAAGTTAGTTATGTCCCAAATCGTCCCTTTGCTTGTATTGTAAAAGAATCATTAGTGGAAACATTCCGAAGGGGCTGCCTTTGAGAGGCGCGGCTGGATGGTTTCACTGAGAAAAAATACTTGGCAAACAGACTTGGAACAAAAGTTTCTTGCATAAAGTTAAAAGAGTTGTGTGAGAGCAAAACTACCAACTCTCCCCCTTCACTGAATTCAGTTAGAGCGAATAGTACATCAATTTTTTATAGTCTTGTTACGTATTTCTTTCTTTCTTTTCCCTTTCTAAGGGCCTGATTACACGAGCCGAGCTGGCTCGCTTTGCACGTTAACAAGACTCACTAAAATCAAATTTATGATTACGTAACAACCCGGTAACAAGATAGCGTAATACCGGGATTTCCAGATGATTCACCACGGCAAAGTGAACCAGCTCCGTCCTAATGTTAGTCATTCGTATTCGGTTGTTTTTCTTTATAAAGCCTCGTAGGATGGGCTATTAATCATTTGGAGCTTGAGCCATGGTTCCTACCCAGATTTCCTGCCAAGTTTTTTCCCAATGGGTTTTTTCGGCAGGTTTTTTCTGGCCTCAGTTCCAGTCGCCAACCTCGTTTGTAGCGGCTGCTCAGCTCTGTTTGTATAGGTTTTTTCTCGTATTCGAACTGTACTTGTAAGTTTAAGACTGATTTATCTGTTCTTTACCTTTTTACCACTAAATAAATATTTCATTGTTTTAACGGTATCTTACTTGAATGAGTGTGACAATAAAGTATAACGTGTTTCGCCAAACTGATCTGAGTATTGAGTTTTGTTTTGTGATATGATTTCGGGTCGAAGGGAAATATTGACACCATGGGAAGAGCCCTTTGGGCGATAGGCGAGAGAGAAAGAATAACCACGCGCGTCTGGGGTCTCTAGCGCCTCCCCGTTGAGTGTTACGCGTGCTAATCATTCAACTTTGGGAAAAAAAATCGCTCGAGAAGAACAAGTACGTTCTTTTCTTCCACGACCTGTTTTGAATGTAGCCTTGTTTTCAAAGTTGCCAGCAGGATCTTTTCCCGGGGGAAGAGGAGTACTTCCTATGATGGCCTATACGGGGAGGCTATGCTCGCAAGGGGTACCTGGCCGGGATTTTACAAGTTGAAGTATACGGAAGGATAGGGCTAATGATAAACTTAAAAAAGGCGAAGAAACGTTCTGGTTTTGTGATTTATTTATGTACAGCAGTTAAAAGCGATTCAAAGTTCTCAACTAGGTATGTGAAAGGGTACTATGTTTCAATAAAAGGTATATGAAAGGGGTGCCTTTCTGTCAAAAATGGTATATAAAAGAATAAGGAGTTGGACCTCGGGTCGTAGCCTCTGGGTGTAAAACTTTGTTGAGTACCACTGGGGCTTTTCTCCTCAACGTTTGCCTCTTAGATATACACGTCTAAAAAATTATTGAAGAATTTTCTCAGGATAATACATACGAACAAGCAACTTTGAAATCATTTGTTAAAAGGACGTAATTTGGAGGAGAAGAAAGACTTGAATAACAACTAGATGATACCCATTGTAGACCAAGATCTGTTATACAGAAAATAAGACGTACAACTTTATTATTTTAGAGGCCACTTATATGTTGAGACAAACTTTGAAAAAAATTAAAATACATGTAAAAAAATCCAATGGTGTTGTACTTCTCATCATGTTATGTCTGGTATGTTATAAGTTTGTACAGCATCAACTGGACCATTAAATAGAAGGGGAATCCTTTAGGGTACCTCCTACTATAACATGGTAGGCAAATTAAATTATCCAAAACTTTCGCAGAATGTTAATTCAGTAAACAGGGTGCAGCCAACTGTTTTCCTCTGCAATGATTCTTGAAACATTTGGAAAACATTAGACGTTCCCTCTCTTTTTATTGCAGACAAGGCCTTGGATATTGTTGAGGACATAAAATGTCCTCAACAATATCCAAGCACAAGAGAAGAGCACAAGAGAAAACTTGCTAAGCTAGAAATCTTTATTATGTATGAGATAAATTTTATCTCATACATAATAAAGATTTCTAGCTTAGCAAGTTTTCTCTTGTGCTCCATTGATACTTCAACAGATGAAAATGTAACAAATGTCTGTTAAAGGGGGTGATATGCACATCCTTGCTGTTATTTCCTTGGCACTGTGTATCATCAACATTGCAATGGTTGCTAACCAAACTAAGGAATGCAGTATTGCAACCAAATAAACTTTCACTATGATGGGTGTGGAGCTGGCTTATTATTTCCTCCTAACAGTTTTAGCAGGATATCATTTCAGATGTTATCTTCTTCTTCTTTATCTATGATGAATTTTACTTTTATGGCGCCTTTCTTCAGTCAGTGTCAAATTCTTCTAAAGAATGCTTGCTATAACTTTCCTTTGCACTTGCTTTTCTTTTAATGACTTCAATTGGGTCCAAGGACATTTCATATTTCTCAGCCTTATCAATTGCTTTTGCAACTTTCCTTTGTTCACCTAAAGAAAAAAACAAACAGAGAAAAAGAATCCTTGAGTACCTGAAAGTAAGTAATCCTTGAGTACCTGTAAGGTGGCTCAACCCAGTATTTTAATGGGCACCATCTCCATCTTTGAATCTCTTATCCTTAAACATTTTGGATGTTTCCAAAAAAGGTTTTATCACTCATTCATTTTGCAAATGAATGAATTATACACTCTACATGCTGCTGAATGCAAGTACACTTGCACGATTCTGAAATTCATGAAAATGTATAAATCAGGGGTAAAACACAATGCTGAGCTCTTTTTGTAATATCTAACTAAAGGCTACTTTCATGAAAACAGTGATTAAAACAAAATTCGTCAATAGAGTTTTTGAAAACATGTACAGTACAGTTATTGATCAATAATTGTTACGCGACATTTATTCTGATTGCCCAAAAAATAATATCATGATAAAGTTTAGTCTTCCATGTAATCCATGTGTCATAATGATTTTACATTAAAGATCACTTACTATATAGAGTATAGAGTATAAGAGATTCAAGTATGGAGTGTGTGCCTATTAAAATATTTGGTCTAGCCACCTTAAAAAGGTAAGTTGTCAGTCCATAACTAGAAATAGCATATTCAAATGCTATTCATGCATATTGGTAGTTTGGGGACATTTCTTATTTTTTATCTTTCGTTTGGGAAAACAAAGGGGGACAAGGGAATCTTTAAGTGGTGAATAACATTAATGCAAAAGCTACTGTAGTTTTAATGACATGCTTTAAATACATTAACACAGTAAAAGAACCTAACACAGATTGTAGATGAAACTTGGTACACTGATGTAACAAGTCATGAAGATGATAAAAAGGTAATAAAAAGTGGGGGTCACCGTGCTCATTTTGAGGTCACAATGCTGACAAATACGGCTATTTTGGACCCTTTGACAAAAAATGCGCGCAGCCCAAAACTAGACAAAAAGGAAAGATTTTTTCAATGATGCATGTGGTATCGCACAGAATTTGACTTAAATGTATTGTTTATCCACTTACGTACTAGAAAAATGCCTTTTAATGCCCTTGTTTTTACGTTACGCTCCAAAGTAGAATTAAATTATTGGACTCGCGCTATTCGACATGTGATAGCTCAATCCGTACAATTTAGTAAAATTGCCAAAAAACTGAACATAGATTTGTGCAAATTTTTTTCTCACTGAAAGGAAGTACTGTCCTTATTAAAATCATGAAGTAAAAAATGAGGGTCACCGTACTCGTTTTTGCGGTAGAGCTGCAGAAAGTGCGCACCAAATGCATTTTCCTTGATTTTTGAGAGAGGACTGGGGCGAGTTTCAAAATAGAATGTATGCAAAAGGGGGAAGAAAGTATTAAAAAATCCGTTTTTACAGAATTTACATCGAGATATCACATTTAGGACACAATGTGATAAAGAAAGCGTTTAAATGAAAATCAAAGTGAATAAGCACAAATTAAACATCCACTATCGAGGTTCTCCGTGAGGAAGTCAAACTCAGCAACACGCGTACTGCTCACGTTATGCACATTCCCACCACATTGAGTCTCACCTCGGCAAGAGACAACCGCAAGCAAAAACTGCAATAGCGTTTCTCTTCGGTCAACTTCATTTTAATAATGTTACTTCACATGCTCTTTTTTACGGAGGCCATCTTGTTATGCGCAGTAAGAGATGCACAGTGCAAAACCAGGGAATCACCTTAAGGCAAAAAGTGAGCTTGTGCTTTGAGTGTATTGGCTGCTCATCTCTACACTGTACTGTAAGATTGATATGAATAATCTGTTGCTTTCTTCTTGGATTTGTTTCATCTTTATTGTGCATTCACCTCCTTGTTGGTCTAAAATGCTCAATATTGCATGATGGATCTTTTTGGTAAAGTAGATGTTTGACTCAGATATTTCAGAGTAGGTGATTGTCTTCTTTATTTTTGAGACATTGTGGTTTAATAAACAGTCATTAAATGAGGAGATTTAGATGCCAGTCACTGTTATACTGCAGTCTTCTTGGCAGCAATTTTATTTCTGCTGTTATACAAACGATAATTACATGTAAATTCAGGTAAAATTTGCACTAACGACTTCTAAACATACCTGGAGTCTTACACTGCTCTAGTAACTGCAGTAATTGCTCTTTATTGTGACGAATGACGAATTTCTGACATGACCGAAGCGTCCCTAAAAAGGAACCGAATGTGAGTTACAAGGATATATAATATAAAATAGTCTTTTCAAGGTACCAGCCCTTGAGGATCTAAAATTTTATCCTTTCTGGCAAAAATTTCCATCACCCCCAACAACAACAAGAAACAGCACACAACATACAAAGATATTTAAGCTAACAAAACTTCCCTCAAAAAGTTAGAGAGGTTTTTTGTCAGTGTGGCTATATAATATCCAGGAAATTGGGTAATCTATGCAGAAGACTGGGGATTTGTTCTGTATGGCTTTTTAAACACAAAGCACGACAACCATGTGACCATAAAATTATTTTACTATACATGTAACAAGGTTTACCTCCTACATGAAGCACTCGGCACATGCATCGCTTATTCTGTATCTTCTTGATAAAGGTGATTGATGACCAAAGCATCCTGTAGTTATCTCTACCGCAACCAATAAAGGCCACCCCAGTAACTGGGTTTACATACTTAACTAAAATTGAAAACAATAAAAACAATCAAAGCAGAGAAGGAGCTGTAAAAAGACCTCTTAAAGAAAACACCTGAGTGTGGAAGAGGGGAGGTGGAGAAGGGTATATTTTTTAAAAAGCTAAGCACAGATAGTTTTATGCTCCTTAACTGACTTTGCTCACGTAAACTTGGGTAGCAAATAAATTGAAAGTGTACCTCTTAAAGATCGGGCAAGACAAGCCCTTCCATAGTCCCCATGGGCCTCTTGTACAGCATTCTTGACGTGTTCATAGATACATGGACTTGACATAGTTTCATCAATCTTGTTGTCCTCAAATGAAATTTCCACCAGCAAATACCTACACAAGAAATTAAAGTGTTGAAATAAAAACTTTGAATTAAGAGCTTACAACATTTAACTGCATTTTCCCATCATCTCAAGAAAATTGCAATGTAAGCTTTAAGTGGTTTAAGCATATCTAAACGACTAACCTTTTCTTATATCGAACCATAACCTTTTTAAGTTAAAAAGGGCAAGAGAAAAACGTTCAAAATGGATTTCTTTCCTTACAAAATCTGTTCTCTACCTCCACATGCAATTTTCGACAGGCGCACAAAGCTGACTTTGTAACCGCGCTAGTCGAGGACCTCGGCAACCACGTTGTGTAAGAACATTTCGCAACAAGATGGCGGCTCCAAAGAAGAGTGTGTCCGCGTTGTTTTTCCTTCGGACACTGGCTTTTTTTGTGATATATTTATCCGTCCAAGTTGAGGGTGAGTAGTTTGGATGTAGGCCTAGGCCTTGTCAGTATAACATATAAATATACTCGCATACAAATGTTTTTTGATACCTGTGTTACTCTTATAAATCAGTAAGACTTACGACGTTCACGTAACTTACATTTTTACAATCAAATGAAGCATGACGAGTCTTGTGCGTAGTTATACTCTTCATACGTAAGGGTTTTGTCTGGTTTTGTGTTATCTTTAACCAGCGAGACTTCATCTTCTATCAACGTGTAAAACCCCGAGGAAAATAACGTGATGTATTTAGTCTGCCATTCACCATAAGTAACTGATTCTGGGCATATTTTATGATAAAGGAGTTTAATATGGTCGAAAACTACGGGACATTTTAACGTTGCTTCTTCTAAACTATTTCATATGTGGGCTTGACTGCAGAATACCCTGCCACTTTAAAGCAACCCCTAAAATAGGTGGATACGCGATATGCGGATACTCAGTTACTACGTATGTGTGTATCCACTTAGTCACTACGTATCAAACTATTTCATATGTGGGCTTAACTGCAGAATACCCTGCCACTTTAAAGCAACCCCTAAAATAGGTGGATTCAGACTCAGTCACTACGTATCCGTGTATCCACTTAGTCACTGCGTATCCGCATATCCATGTATTCACCAAGTAAATATCTTTAAAATGATAGTCACTGCATATCTGCGTATCCACTTTGATATACACCTAAGACAACGTAAAGAGTATACAGTATGTCTGTTTGTCGTTCTTAACACCACTGAAGGTAGAAAAGCGCATACAAGGGATAACTGCGTACCCACGTATCCAGCTCTATCAGGGATACAGCTTTGAAGTGGCAGGGTATTCTGCAGTTACTCCCACGTGTGTCTCATTGCGAAAAATAGAATGTCATATAGCTTTCTCACTTTGTCAAACTTGAAAAATTCTCTTGAGAATTCCAAAATGTTGTAATCCATGCTTGTTATCCTGGAACCAGCACAGGTGGCCCAGACGTAGTATGTGTCACTGAATGAATATATTAATATTCACATGGACAAATTAATGCGAAGAGTTGGCAAAACTCCCATGGACTAAAATAGTCCAAAAGTCAAAATATAACAAAACAAAGCTAAGATACCTTCAACTGAACGTATCCTTGTCTTTCCTGGCCGGTTTAAGTGGCATTGTGTTGAGTTTTGCAATTGTTGGTAGTATCCACTAAACAAGAATTAAAGGCTGGCACAAAACAAACAGACCATCTCCACAGGCCTTCACATGAAGTACTATAAATTCGAGAATAATCGACGAATACGCTTCAAATTGCCATCGGCTAATCTGCAGGTAACGTGTGCTCCTGCTTCTGGCTCGCTGGCTCCACAAAACCCATTGCAACTGCACAATAATAAAATTGCTCGCTCATCAACAACCACTGTTGACCTTTACGCTTCGATATGACCGCAAACTACCAGGTTTAATATGCGATGTGAATATTCAAGCTTAGCGACCGTGTTCGCGCAACAATGCAGCACTTGCTATGGGAGGGATGGTACTATTGCTTCTAGGTCAATCAATTGGGAAAATAATATTGAAGCCCTTGTAATTTTTAAAAAGATCCAATTTGCCCAAGGATCACTGAACAGATACGAATCTTATAGCGGAGCTAAAAAAAAATGAGCGGCAGTGGAAAAAGTGAACAAGAACATGTACCACATTTTCTCCATAAAAAGTGAAATCCAGGAAGTTTTCTGGACGTTTCACGTTGCAGTCATGCAAATCAACGGCAAGGAAATGTACAAGAAAGTGTGCTGCAGTTAGACCTATTGTTGTTTTTCACAGTTCTGGTCAAGGGCATCCAACGTTTAATTTTTGTTATTTCACTCACTGGGCTAGGCTATTTTTCGTAGAGAGTAAAAAGGAATCATAAAATTTTCGGATTCAAAAATGTGATGAAAGAAGGAATCTGAAAAATTATCTCCTTCGTAATACGTTAAATTGCATCTAAAATTTTCGGGAAAATAATTCTGAATTCCTCTTAATTTTGAAAAGACTCAAGTTCCTCTAGAATGGCTGAACACTGAGATGCAAATTTTATAGCACCACTTAGAATGCCTCTCTCTAGAGCTAAAAGTACTTTATGAATAGCTACAAAAGTGTTTTCAAAGTATTTGAGGAAACAGTCGTTGGGTGTCCCTCTCTCGCTGCCTTCTACGCTTAGCATTACACGATATATTTTATATTTAGTATGAGCAAACTATAAATCATTAGCTTGGCTTTTAGCCCTCCTGACTAAATTTATGTAAGTGCTGTTTAGAATGCATTTTTAGATCAAAAGTACTCTGGACAGCCTTAAATGTGTTTTCAATGCATTTAGGGGGAAATCATCGTTGGGTGCCCCTGAGTTTTGAGAATAATAATAATAAAAAAAGATTTCGCGCACATAAATTTTACTTTACGATATCTTCAGTTATATCTTCTATTCAGCTGCATAGCCAGGGCCAGATTTTGCCTTTTTCCTGGGCGGAAAATTCTCGTCCTCCTTCACCAGTTTGGACAACATATTATGGAGTAAGACGTTGTTAATCTAAGCAAATAAGTCTGGTAGAGTCAAGGACCTATGCAAGCGGCTGGACGAACAATGTGACAGCAGCTGAGACAGCGAACGTTAGAAGAATTCGAACTTGAAAACCAGAGCCGCCCTGTTGAAAACTTACGGACGCTCCCGTGATCGCCTTTTGTTTTCTGGTCAAAACTAACGCAGCGAACCTTTGGTCAGTGTCGATTGACCTAGAAGCAATAGTACCATCCCTCCCATAGCAAGTGCTGCATTGTTGCACGAACACGGTCGCTAAGCTTGAATATTCAGGTCGCGTATTAAACCTGGTAGTTTGCGGTCGTATCGAAGCGTAAAGGTCAACAGTGGTTGTTGATGAGCGAGCAATTATTGTGCAGTTGCAATGGGTTTTGTGGAGCCAGTGAGCCAGAAGCAGGAGCACACGTTACCTGCAGATTAGCCGATGGCAATTTGGAGCGGATTCGTCGATTATTCTCGAATTTATAGCGTTTCGTGTAAAGGCGCGTGGAGATGGTCTGTTTGTTTTGTAGCCAGCCTTTAATTCTTCTTTAGTGGATAGTACCTACAATTGCAAAACTCAACAAAATGCCACTTAAACCGGGCAGGAAAGACAAGGATACGTTCAGTTGAAGGTATCTTAGCTTTGTTTTGTTACATTTTGACTTTTGGACTATTTTAGTCCATGGGAGTTTCGACGACTCATCGCATTAATTTGTCCATGTGAATATTAATATATTCATTCAGTGACACATACTACGTCTGGGCCGCCTGTGGAACCAGCCTCGCAAAGCTCTAAATATTCATAATTTATATCGTTTTTACGTGTAACGTTAAATTGTGTTGAAATACTGAAGCATTTCGTCAAGTTAATTTACCAATGTAAAAAATGAAAAGCTGACATTTCAACATTTCGAGCAAAAACCTTCATGAAACGATGGACTGATGTATTTGGAACATTACAATGTGGCTTCTCAATCTGTTTACAGAGAATAATTAAATCTGTTAACTTTACTGAACTGCTGTTTTGGATATACTGTAGACCCTCTATATCAGGAAGGTAAATGTATAATTAACAACTATTCCACAAGTGAGCATTTTTTAAACATTTTCCTTTTGAGGGGAATTACTGTACATGTAGTGTTTTTTTTTCAGGGCAACCTCTTAGGCATGATAGAAAACCAACCTGGCAGGACCGACTCATAGAATGGTGGATGTCTGTAAGAGGGTTTTGGGCAAGTCTCATTGTTGGTGGAATCTTGTTCTCTCAGGTGTTGGTGAAGTTAAGAGAAAGAAACAACCCTGCAGGCTCAGAAGTAAGGATTTCACTGTTGTTACAAGTAGTTTGGTTTTAAAAAATAAAAGCAAAAACAAAACAAATTCAAAAGTGAGTTTTCCTGCTGTAGACTTTACCATCTGTCTGCAGGAAGGGAAAAGCAAGCAAGTTTAGAAGTTGTAAAACTAAATTGACCACCACATTGAGCTTAATAATGAAAACATAGTCGTTAAAAGGTTTGTAAATTAAGCTCAGAAGTAAGGATTTCACTGTTGTTACAAGTAGTTTGGTTTTAAAAAATAAAAGCAAAAACAAAACAAATTCAAAAGTGAGTTTTCCTGCTGTAGACTTTACCATCTGTCTGCAGGAAGGGAAAAGCAAGCAAGTTTAGAAGTTGTAAAACTAAATTGACCACCACATTGAGCTTAATAATGAAAACATAGTCGTTAAAAGGTTTGTAAATTAATTTTTATTGTTAGTCATAACTCTAACAGCATTCTCAAATCCGATTGGCTATCAACTGTCCTGATTTCAGCACTAATTGATAACAGAACCATGAATTGGTAACAGAATTTCCTGTTGTTAAATTCGGTCTGTAATCATATTCGTGATAAAACAAATCAGACTCCCGCTAATTGTTGTTTGATTTTGTTAATCACGAATATGATTACAGACCGAACTGGACTCCACTCAGTCATATTACTATTATAAATTTGTACACTATGTCTTACACATACAGCTATAGACATATTTTAATTGTATAGGCTAAACTTCATTTAGTTCTTGACTGGTTAAGATAAATAAGAATTACTGGTAAACCCAGCATGCAATTCTTTGATTCTCTTATATAATACCACTCCTCTAAAACATTGCCTGTATAGTAATAATGTTTGCAATTTACTTGTAATGAATATGCTGTTACTGTCATGTACAGATTTTACAGATGGGCATCTTGAGTCTTTCCAGAGTGTTTTTGTTTATTTGGGTGTAAGGAAACTGACAGGTCTACTTGTTATAAATAGTCAATAATTGGTATGATTTCAATAGGAAAGTAGAGCAGCCATTAAGGAGTCTTCATCACTTCCACAATCCAGGATTGAAAATACTAGACAAGCATCAAGATCTGACGGATTAAAAATCTTCTTTGGGACACAGACAGGAAGGGCAAAGGTGTAAGATTTCACTGTAATTTCCCAATTCTTTAGTTAAACTTCCCTGTCTCAAACTCTGAAGAGGGTTCACAGAGTGAGGAGTTTCAAACTTAAGGTACATGTACATTAAGGAGGACTATCTCATTTTCTTTATTGACAACTATTACAGTCACAAGGCAGTCTACAGATCATCCACCTGAGATATAATTACTGCTTATACATGTAGGGACTGAGGACTAAATTTTAGCCAGGCAATATTGTCCGGACTTCTACCTCAACCCTCTTGCCAGCAGTTATAGAACGAAGATGTCAAAAAGATAACTTTCTTTCTTTCAAACCTTGGAACCCATACAAATGTAGGACACCCAGATGCCAACCTAGCTAAAACTTGCTGGACTGTTCGCGATGGTGAGGTGTTGAAAGCAGCAGATGGGTGAACATGTTGCACTATGTTTTAGAGAAAATCAAACTCAAATTCTTCTTTTTCCAGATTATTTTACAAAGGGCACTACCCAACTCTGCCTTGTACATATTCAAAAAGGGGCAATTTTGTCAGATGTGAAAAATCAATATCAGTTATTTTGACATGGGGATGAGGATCTTCACAAATGATTTAAAGTAACGTTGGTTAATTTGTCATAACAGTGCAATGTAATTTTTTTTGTAGCACCTAGCACAAGATCTACATTCTCAGGTGGAGAAGCTGGGGCTGAAAAGTGAAGTTGTGGATTTAAAGAACTATGAACCAGAGGATAGTCTTTCGGAGGAGGTAAAGATTGTGTCATTCTCACGGCAGTTATCTTAAAAGCTGTGACCAAAAATGATAGATGATGCTTGATCTACATGTACATGTCGGACAGCTCAGTCCTTGCCATGATAGCTCTTTACAATAGTGGCCTTGAGATTTGACTACAATGGCCCGAGCTTACCTGCGTGGGAGGCTAGAGCTTCTGGAGAACCCTGATTAATGATCATTATGAAAAAAGCGAAAAGAATCAAACCAAAGAAATATCGTCACTGATTCATCATGTCACATGCTCGAGGCAAAAAAACTACAAATCCATGATGTCTAATTCACTGGTCAAATCAAAGTTTGCAAAATTGCTATTTTATTAGATCTGCTATAAAGAGAAATACATGTAAATCTTAATAGTGGTTTATAAAGAGAATGTATACATGATTTGAAATCTACAGGTGAACACATGTGTGTTTATCATAAGCACATATGTGGATGGGAATCCACCAGAGAGTGCACAGTGGTTCTACAAGTGGTTAGAGGAAGCTTCTAATGATTTCCGTGTGCAAAAATCATTGCTGCAGGATTTGGAATATGCAGTGTTTGGCCTTGGAAATTCTCTCTATGAAGATAACTTTAATAGGGTGGGTGCCTGTGAGCTTATCTTTTATGTTACCCTTGGAAACTGGATATTCTTTTCTAAGACCTGTAATATTGAGCAGTTAACATCTCGAACTCCAGATCTGGGGGTCCGGGGTTCAAGCCTCGCATGTCACCTTGTTTCCTTAGACAAGGAACTTTATTCCACTTTGTTTCTCTTCGCCCAGGTGTATAAATGGGTTGTTCCAGAAAAAATCCACACCCCCCCGACAGATGGGATTCTGGAAATTCTCGCGGGAGGGGGGGTCGAAGACTCCGGAAATCCAGGCGGGAGGGGGGGTTGACCTTAAAAAAGTCTTCTGCAGGGGTCATTTCGACCGATAGTTGATACAAATCAAACGTTTAGTTCGATGACACTTAAGCGCTTTCAGACCCTGAAAATAGTCAAAATGTTGTTCATATATTTCTCACCTGACATAAATGATAATCTAAGTTGCTTTACAGGTCCTTTTATAGCAGAAAATGCGAACAAGATACTAAAGAACGGGCCTGAAGGAACTCGTCGCAACGTTGTTGTCACGAAGAGCGTCAAACGCCTGACACATTTCTACTCGTACCCAGAGCCCGCGCGCGAAGAGCGAAGAGTGATTTTTATAAGCTAACAAATTATGTAAACACTCGTTCAGGTGTCGTTCGCATTTTTGTTTTTTGCTCCTTTCGTTTTTAGTTCCACGCGATAGAATTCTTAGTTTAATATAAGCTGAAGCTTTAGAAATTAAAACAAAAACATTTAGACATGTTTGCGTGTATTTTCCATTAAAAATAAATTAAATTTAAGCCTTTTATTTTTTCCCGGAAATCCAGGCGGGAGGGGGGGTCTTCCACCTTGGAAATCCAGTTGGGAGGGGGGGTCTTGTGCTTCAGGAAATCCAGGTGAGAGGGGGGGTTAAAAAAGGACCCCATCCGTCGGAGGGGTGTGGATTTTTTCTGGAATAACCCAATGGATACTGGCAACATACTGCTGGGGGTTGACCCTGCAGTGGACTAACATCTTGTCCAGTGGGGGGTAGCAATACTTCTAGGCATGCTTCATGCTAAGGAAACCGGGATAAGCTCTGGCTGTTTGGGCCTTTGACTTGTGTCTACCTTTACCTTAACTTACCTTAATACTGGGATGCACTGCAGTAGTTACCCAACAGTAAAAGTTGCCTGTAGGTCTATCCCTCAATGCTGATAATTTTTAGACTGCTAATGAAGATGCATTGTATAAAGTGTGGACACGTTTTGTGTTACAGTTTTTGTACATGTGCTTATACACCTATACTGGGTGTAAGCTCTGGTAGTCGGTGCTAATTTTTGTACATGCAAATGGTTATTGTTCTTTCCTTGAGAAAGATTTGGTTTCTTTAAATTCAAAAATCCGGGTTTCTTGAAACTCAATTAATGTGAAACTTGAGTCTCAAGACTGAATTTTTGCATCTTGCAATCCAATTACTGTAGTTCATGCTTCAAGCCTTTTTCAAGAATAACTTTCAAAGATTGTGTCAAGACTTTCAACTGTGCATACCACTGCTGCAGATTGCCTGGATTGTCATCCATAATAATTATTGTACCACAAATTGCTGGGGACAACACAAAAATTAATTCATAATATTCATATTGTACTATCTATATTGACAATGTACATGGTATGTTTCATAAACCCTGTAGGTTGGAAGGAATTTAGATAAGTGGCTTGAACTGCTCAGTGCCAAAAGAGTGTTTCCTTTTGGAGTAGGAGATGAGAATGTAGCGAATAGCAAACACGGAGGTACTGTACTAAGCATTACTTGGCAAAAGTACTCAGTGAAATTCCTTTCCTCCCCTTTGTATAATACAGTTGTGTGTAACACTCCTAAAGATATCTGTACTTGCTGACTAGCAGGCATTTTTGAGTCCAGCCCTGTTACCATAATGTGAATGGTGAAATTTTTGGTCACTTTTGGTGTCTAAGATTATTAGATTAATGTGACCTTATTCTACATTGACTCCAGTTAACTTTGATTGTACAGTGTGCATGTACTTTATTAAATAAAATACATGCACACTGTATCATCAAAGTTTAAAATGTTTCATTCCAGGTACAGAGAATGATTTCAAATTTTGGAGTTCAAAGTTGCTGTCACACTTCAAAGAAAGTAAAGAGGGTTCAAGTCAAGGCAGCTGTCATTGTTCTACTGATTCTCAATCAGCTAACAAAGCTTGCCATCAGAAGCAAGACAGGGCTGACGAGGAGTGCAGGACCCAACAGGATGAGGTGGGGTGGTTGGATCAATGTTTTTAGTACAATCGCCTTCGACATACATGTAATGATTACCACTGGTAACAATATTAATGATGAGGTGCACATACAGATGCATGTATGGTGATCACATCAGCATTGTGGGTTTAGTCAGAAAAATAGCAATTAATGTTAAAATATTGACACAGTGTACCAGATACCCACTTTCCATGTACATATAATGTCAGTTCAGGCCACCCCATGCTCATTTTGCAGACACACGTCAAACGATATTAATGGGGTCAGTCTAAAGAAAAGGAGTTTTTTATTGACATGGTTGAAGAAATTCATTCAACTTTTTCACTCTCCAGTGCTTCCTTAACTTGGACAGGAATCTTTGCTGCCCATTATTTCTCTCCCAGGTGTTGTTTCTGGGATCCAATGACTTTCTGCTTGGGGGGCGAGAGGGGGGGGGGTCTACACTGTCATAGACAATAGTTCTCTACCAATGAGTGCCCTAGAATTGCTATGTTGTTGCAACAATGCACTATTTTGACTGCACATGACCAAGCAGTTCCCTTTGCCTTTATGTATATTTCAAGGTCTTGTATGAGAGTACCAGTGAAGAATCTGCAGATGAAGATGGTGAGCAAGAAAGTGAGGAAGGCTTGCTAGACATGGAAGATTTAGGACCTATGATGAATAAAATGAGAAAAACTAAGGTAAAATATCACTGTGCTGTGATCTAAAGCCTTACAACAGTACAGTGTTAACTTTACTTAAAAAATGCTATGATCAGAGAGTGCCAGCTTACAATGTATATTAGTTCTTTGTGTAAAAATGGTAGATCAACTCTAATTCATCTCTTTTTTGTAGGAAGAAAAAGAAGCTACAAAGCTGAAAGGGCCAAAGAGAAGTATAGGTATGATCATTATGCATTTAAAGAAGTGAATGGTTTATTTCCAGCTATGCAGATGTGACTAAATATCTTGTAACTTTGACCCTTACTGTGTTGCGTGTGCTTCAATGAACACCAGACAAGATTTTTGACGTATTTTTGACAAGTTGGAATGTTTGATGTCTGGCAAGTGGCCTATCACAGTGGAGAAAATCTTGCAACAAGGCAGCGAAATGACAAGTTGATCAGCTGAGAGGCTGAGAGCGTGTTTTGAGTAAACGGCATGGTGGCTTATCAGGTGAAGGTGAAGTACAGAGAAGAAAGGTTTTGCACTTTCTTAATCAAAGATATCACTTTTGCGAAGCTTATGCAGGAGATGAAACACAACTGCTTGCCACTTGCACACTTACCCTCTTCAAACATTCGTGTAATCCAAAGTTACAAGAGATGGGTAAAAAAACAAAACTGGTCAAGGTGTTCAGATGGCTGATTTAAATACTCTTTAGGGTGTTTGTTAAAATCCAAATAAGGGTTAAGGTTATATCCAAACCACAGTACTGCGTTTTACTTCCTATGATTTCTCTTTGTTAGTTCAAGGACATTTTCTTTGCTCATTTTTGGCAGACTTGCAGTACATGTACTCTAAATAATTTGTCATTTTTTACAATACCGTTAAACCTTTTTCTATAAGCCTGCCTTACAGACAGTCTTCACTTCAGTATACATGTAGTCTGACATGTGGCCCTGATGAAGGCTAAACTAAAAAAATCCTGGCATTTTAAGATATTGCAGAGAGTATCTTTTCAATCACCCACTTCTCAGTACAACAATCCGCCCATCCTGGAACACCCTGTGAGCAAAGCTTCTTTTTATCCTCTTGAGCGAGGAGCAGAAAAGGAAGCTCTGCCTAAATTGCTGTCAAGCCTTTGAAATTACTGAATCTCAAACTTTTGGACTAGTCAATCTTGTTTTCTTTCTGCCAAACTGGTATTCAGAGTGTGAGCGTCTGTTTATTGATAAACTGATGGTCATAACCCAGCCTGCTGTACCGAGCATGTGGCTATTAATCCTTTAAGTCCCAGGAGTGACCAACATAAATTTCTCCTCACAATATCAATACATTATCAAAAGAAAAGGTTAGGAGATTTACTAAAATGACCGCCTCAGGGTAAATGCTTTGATCTTTTATCAAATTCTCTCAACTAATTCTTTAAGAAAATGTATGGAGATCACTTTGGAGAATTTGTAAGTGGATATCGGGGCTTAAAAGGTTGAGTTGGATACTGTATCCTAGCACAACATGCAGCTCATGCCCAGCAAAGATCTTACTCAATCCATGCTCAGTCTAGTTTCTTGAGTACGCCAAACTAAAGCAAGTGAAACAAAGGCTCTGCCAGCAGCGTGATCTGGCAGAGGTGACGTTTAGGTTTAGACAAAACAGTTACACCTGTACACTACTATTAGAGACACAGTACTTTATAGGGAATGATTACTTTCAGATCTGAACTTAAAAATATATAATTTACTTAAAATGCAGCACGTTGTGTTTAATATTTTTATTTTTAAGGTAAAAAGAAAAATGTAGAACCTAAAGAGATGATTACTCCAGCATTGGAAAAGGCTTTAACAAAGCAAGGTACATGTTTTAAACTTCATCGTTATAGTTTGAACCAGGAAAAACCACGAAATTCCTGAAAGTATTTGGGAGTATTGATTTACTTTGTACTTATGACCACAAACCCCAAACCATTGCTAACCTTACATGTGGTTAGTCTCCTTACACATTAAAAGAGCTGAAGGCATGCTGTGAGATCCATACAACTAGAGCTTTTCCTTGTTTCTGTTGCATAGAACATGTAGAAGTACTGCTACTAATTATGTACGGTAATTTGCTCTGTAAGCATTCAGATCGGAATTCAAATTTCATGCTGCAAACCCATATTATTGTTACCCAGCTTTGAATACCAACTAATCCATACCATTAATCCCCGGCAACACAATAAACTTCTAGAAGTATTTCCAATGGTAAGAGTTAAAAGATTTAAGTAGTTTCACATTAAAAATGGTAAACATACATGCATTAGTCTAAAGAAAAACCACTGTTAAACTGATCTTTTTCCAAAAGTTTACCAAAAGTCTGAACTGGCGAGCCAGACCAGTCATTTTGAATGCAAAATGTTGGCCTTTTCTCCAGATTTGCCGAGCATACCATTTAGGAATAAATTGATCTGTCTAGATAGTCCTTATTAATAGTGGAATCTCTTTACAATGGATTGGTCTTGCTGGCTAGTTCTAATAATGGAAAGTGCCCTTCGATTTCTAAAATTGTATTTCATTTTGTCCTTCCCAGGCTATCGTTTGATTGGAACTCACTCTGGAGTTAAGCTTTGTAGGTGGACAAAGGTGAGGTCCCGTTCGATTTAAACTCATCTTCAACTGATTGGGCATTGGGACGGGGAAGGTTGGGGCTAAAACAACCTGCAAAGTTTTCGACACATATGCACGGGTCGAAGCCGTGGCACAATGTAAACGAGCCCTGCCAACTTGTGGGGCACCCCACAGTTTAGTGCATGGATGGGTAAAACAAACCTTGTGTCCGGTGTTCTCTCCTACTTGTCCCTGTGGAACGAGAGTGTGACACAGGGACGAGTAGGAGAGAAACTTGGGAACGAGGTTGGGGTAAAACCACTGACGGCATTGGCCCGAGGTATACATTCCTAGATTTCATGTAGCCACATTTAAAATTTGAATGGAGACACTCAGTATATGCCACAGTGTATTATGGCATTTCCATTTTATTAAAACCTAAATACAAGCTATTTTGTACCATTTGTATACAGAGGATGAGAGAATCGTACGTAACTGACGCATCTTTTGTGTTTGCAGTCTATGCTGAGAGGTCGTGGTGGCTGCTACAAACATACCTTTTATGGTATTGAAAGTCATCGCTGTATGGAGACCACGCCAAGCTTGGCTTGTGCAAATAAATGTGTCTTTTGCTGGAGGTATGTGTTCATGTATTGGCTTAGGTGGCTGTAAGTGAGGTTGTAGAAAGGGAGCTTTCGGAGTTTTAGACAGCGAACAATGGTGGCGCAGTGGTGCGAGCACTCGCCTCCCACCAATCTGGCCCGGGCTCAAATCCCGGTTTCGACGCCATACGTTGGTTGAGTTTGTTGTTTGTTCTCTCCTTTGCTCCGAGAGGTTTTTCTCCGGGTACTCAGGTTTTCCCCTCTCCTCAAAAAACCAACATTTCCAAATTCCAGTTCGACCAGGAATCAGGTTGACGAAGAACCACTATGTGGATGTGCTACCTCCAAATCGTTATTTATTTATTTGTTATTTTATTTAGACGTTTGTCGTTTGACTAAAACGAACACCCGCTTTGAATAGTCTCCCTTAGCGTTGCGTGACGAGACAAAAACAGCTGCGTGGGAGACTACGCCTTGGACTTTTACTTTTATTATTATTTTGCTGTTAAGGGAAATTTTATTGTTTGCTCTCCAACTGTTTTACAGACATCACACCAACCCTGTTGGAACAGAGTGGAAATGGAAGATGGATGATCCAGATACAATTGTTAATGGCGCCATGGACAATCACCGTAACATGATTAAACAGTTCAGAGGTACAAAGGGCCCTCGTCAATGTTTAAATAATGAGCGACCTTGATTTGAAGCCATACTGTAAATTGACTAACCTGTGAATAGGTATCTGCGCCACAGACGGAAGTAAACGTCTGATTAAGTCCGTCTGCGAAACGGCTCTGAAATCCTTGTTCTGGGCCCCCGCCTGTGTACCACGATTTGAGTACGCGTCATAATGAGCCTGTTTAAAACGCCACTATCGATTTGCCAATCAGGTTGGAGAGATATTCGAAACGCATTTCCGGTAATTCTTTGAGTCCCTTGGGGACAAGGAACATTATATCGGCATTACTTTAGCCTGTTCACAGACCCTTTATTTTCCCTTTAAAGTCCGTCGAGCGCGGGTGATAAGATGTAAACCGCAGGGGATATATTGACCACCAGTGCAAGGGGGTAGGGGTGGGTGAAAAAGAAAATTTTTCTATCTCGCGCTCCGCGCTGGTTCTCGCGCAATCGCTTCGCTCTCGAGCTCGCCGATGTTTTCGAAAAGAACGAAAAGAAAAATAAAACAACGTCTGTGTACAGGCTAGCATTGCTTCGCAGACGTTACTAACCGGGGTTAGATCATGTCTGCTACGCAGGCTAGTGAATAGGCTCCTGGGGAAGTAAGGTGAAGGACGCTCGCGCTTTCTAGCTTTCTCGACGTTTTGTAGTTCACAAGAGTCAGCTTGTTCACAGGTTGTGAATGGACATTACAGTAACCGTGGTGCCTGCCTTGTAATGAATATAGACCTGTAGATGCGAGGACAAGGACGACTACTATTCTCGTATTTTACAAATATAGACACCCCGGAAAGCTTCATTGTACTTCTTTCACCAGAAAAATCAGCGCGTTTATTTTTATGGAAGGAGGTTAAGCTCTCACCCGAGCACAATATGAGAAAACTGCTAAAAGTTGACAACTTGCTTCCACCATTACGACATTCTCCTAAAACCTGCAGAAGAAGGACGACATCTATCATGTTTTCCCGCCAAAATGACGCTCGTTCACGCGCGCGCACTACGTAGTATTGAGACAATCTCGTCCTCGTAGTCGTCCTTGTCATAGAATCTAAAGGTGTTTATTGTAGTGGACAGACAACTACCCCCAAATTGACTTCCGTCTTAGAAAGGATGACGATGTGTGCTGTTAGAGAGATTTACTAGATTTAGAGCGACGTTTACGGCAAACTGCAAACGTCAGATTCAAGTTGAGAATTTCTCAAAATAGAAAACGTGCAGCTAAAAACAGCCCAAAACAATTGTTATAGACAAAACTAACATGTAGCCACAGGGTGCAAAGAAAATCATTTTTACAGCTTGCCATTCGGGCAAGCTGAAGCAAGCATTTACTAGCCCAGACGTCATTTCAACTAGCCCCAAAAGCTTTTCGTCGAGCAGAATTGATTTCACACTTCTTCTGTTATTCGAATTCCTCAAAGAACATCACTTGCCCGTCGGACAAGTTAAAAACAGATTTCACTAGCCCGATAGCAAAATCCACTAGCCCCGGGCTATCGGACACTACTTTCTTTGCACGCTGAGCCAGTAATTTAGGCGTAGAAGTAGTGAACAGTAAAGTACAAGTTAAGGGAAAACTTGGTCACGTGGTACAAATTCACATTTGCCGTTCATCAGTTTCAGTCGAGCTGTACATGTTATTTAATGGCAAAGGAGGTGATTCCTGCGGACAAGAGAATCATAGCTGCCAATTTTCTAATCTCTGCCTGGCTAAGAAAGAAATGCTTCGGTACTCATAAAAAGTTTTCACTCAGTGAATACCGAAAAACAGATCCTTTGAGCGAACGCCTATAGAACAATAATGTTTTATTTGTACCATTTTCAGGAGTTCCTGGCGTTAAACCCGAACGATTTGAAGAAGGAATGAAGATAAAACATTGTGCACTCTCACTTGTGGGTAAGCAACATTTTCTTGTAATACTAAATTGACCTTGGTTTTCCTGTGAGAAAGGACTTTTGCAAGCACGTTCGACAAAGGAAAGGAAAGAGAACTGCATGCTAGAGGAAGTATTTAAGATATTGAATTAGAAGAGTAAGTTCTGCTTCTTTGAGACGCCAAAAAAAGTACGTGTACTTTTAAAACACTTCCAGCGTCTATTAAATGAGTACTTAAGGGGAATTTCAGCTGCGTTTACATGTCTAAGATTAAACGAAGCTATGTAGTGACTTAAAGAAAAGAACGACTTGCAGACGCTTTCCTTTTTCTAAAGCTGAGTAACACATGCTCAGTTGGGGCGCAACGGTCCAGTTCTGCGTTTCGCCTTTCTCGCGTGGGGTGATTTTCACGTGCGCTCGCGTTTCGCTCGCTGTAATCTCCCTGAGGAAAATGGGGACTACTCGTAGTCTAGCTATGGGATGACATCCGAGTGGAGATTCGAATTATTGTGGTAACTGTCTGTGAATTTTTGATGACGGGAAAGGAAATTTAGTTCGGGTTAGCGTTCTAGTTATCAGAGTCCGAGTTAACTGAGTAAAAATGACTGATAAGCGGGGTGAAATTTAAGGGAAATGGGACTTGGTTCGAGTTAGCGGGGAGTTCGAGTTATCCGAGTTCTAGTTATCGGGTTCTACTGCATATATGATTTGCGCCTCGTTGGCTATAATCTTACTTCATTTCTCAAGAGCGAACAGAACATAATTTGTTGGGTGCCTTTTATGATTTTAGAATAGCAGCTCAATTACCACAACTTCTAAGCCAATCAAAACTCTGAAAATGCCGCATTATCCAAGGGCAAGCGGCATTCTAACGTTTAGAGTGTTCAAGCCAGGTATGTGATAACTATACAGATTACCCAAATAACTGTTTTAACAATTGTTTTGTTTCAAAGGTGAACCTATAATGTATCCAAGAATAAACGAGCTTGTCAGAATTCTTCACGGACATGAAATTTCTTCTTTTCTCGTCACAAATGCACAGTTTCCTGATGCTATAAGGTGGGTGGTCTGTAGTTTGTTGTAAAATTATTTTTAAATTCTCCTTTTGCGTTTTTTATCATTTTTCTTGCATGTCGCCTTTCCTTCTGGGAGACGATTTTACGCGCGCTTTGCACACTCGCGTGTTTTGCTTGCTGTACTATTGTGGGGGAAATAAGCGACTTCTTGTAAACGCCTGTACTTAAGTTAATTCTATTTATTTCTGAATGTCCATATTGATAAAATAATAACAAAGTAAAGATTGTTACTGACCATTACAAGATCGCACTTTCAGTAATGAAAAGTGCCGTTTGCAAGGCAAAGGAGTACCTTCATTTCTTAGTTATTTTAAAATCCTAAGTGTTGGGCCATGCAAGGGGATCGAACCCATTATTTCCCGCTTTACCTACTGAGCTAGTCATGCAGGTGTTTAAGCAAAGGTGTTTTTGAGCGGCGCACGCCAGCTGAAGGTGAAACCTTTTGTCTTCTAATATGCCTTGACGCTACCAGAATTGTATTGCTAACACAGGAGTTTCGTGTGAATAAATGAATTACTTTTTTAAAGTCTCACCTTGAAAAATGTCTATACCTGTCGCTTAGCACGATTAATTAGCCCAATGGGATCTTTATAAATCTACTGTAAACGATTTCTTCGCTTCTTATCTGACCCAGGTCGACTTTTGAAAATAGATGACCGCAATCCATATCCTCGCTGGCGCAGGCACGTCGCCCGAAGGGTGACCGAAGGCTGTCGCCCGAAGGGCGACCGAGGCACGAAGTGCCGAGTAAAAGAAAGGACGTATTTTATACTGTAAGCCGATCTTGCGAGCCCTCAGTCTCTTGGTTTGCGGTCTATAGAATGTGTGACGAAACTGTAACGCGATCAAAATAACCCATTTTTTCAGAGGTTTTCGACGGGTTTTGATGTTCTAACGACAGACACATCTCCTCTGGACCCTGTGTTGCTAAGCGGCCGTCCTCTCATAAGGACCATCCGCTCACTTCCGGCTGACATGCGTCGCTCAAAAACGTCATTGCTCAAGCTTAGTCTAAACGGAGAACCTCCGGCCGTAGTGGATCGTATAGGTCCTGGGTACCAGCACCGTAGCTTTACGTTGGCTCTCCTTACAGTGCCTCACGTTTACAGTGAAACGTGAAGAAAGTGAACGTGAACATGAACGTTAACAATGAAACGTTTTTCCTTCAGAAATCTCATTCCAGTAACGCAGTTGTACGTGAGCGTGGACGCCAGCACAAAAGAAAGTCTAAAGAAAATTGACCGTCCTCTCTTCAGGGATTTCTGGCCTCGGTTTTTGGATAGTCTCAAGGCTTTATCAGAAAAGGTTTGATATTGCTCATAATAAAGTTACGCATAAGACGAGGTTAGCTCTGCTGTGTCTAATGGGACGCTCTTAGGGACGCTTGCGCTACTTTCATTGGCTATTGCGACTATCACTATTTTTAAAATTCGTCCCTCAAAACGGTCTCATAATGCATTTCGACACAGGACCGGCCCCGTCGCGTAGCCTCAAAATGGCCAGGGCCCAGGCAGTTGTTCGAAGTCAGATTAGCGCTAACTCGCGGTTAAATTTTCTTTTGCTATTCTTTTGCTTTTGCTCAAAAGGATTTTCTCGGATAACTACTATATCTCTATTCTTTTTAGAGCGTCCAATCATTAAATTGGAGAGAAAAAGAATTTTAAAAACTGAATTTGCTTTTTAACCTTTCATATCTGAATTCAAATTTTGCACTAAGGTTACAATATCTTAACCCAGCTTTTAACAACCCGGTCCAGTATTCTTACATGACTTGGCATGCTAAATTGGAGAGAAAAAGAATTTTAAAAACTGAATTTGCTTTTTAACCTTTCATATCTGAATTCAAATTTTGCACTAAGGTTACAATATCTTAACCCAGCTTTTAACAACCCGGTCCAGTATTCTTACATGACTTGGCATGCTAAAGAACAGGCATATTCCGTATCAACTTTACTAAAAAATCCTTTTTTACGAAGCAAGCCCTCGAGCCTGTTGATGTGATCGCTCCTCACCAAACTGTCTTGGCATATGTTTTTTGGATCAATTTTAGTTTTTGGGAAACTACCCACGTACCCCTCCCCTAAGTCAACGTGTTGTCCTAAGTGAGAAGTAAGTGAAAATGTTGGCTTAGGGGAGGGGTAGGCGGGCAGTTTCCCAGAAACCTCAACTGATCCGGTTTTTTTGCCCTGTACTTCCGTCTTATACATACAGTATATGAAAAATGTTGTTGCCGTTGTTGTTAATACAGGACGCATTCGATGCCAGCCACTATAAAGGCCTACAAGGTAACTATTTACTGACATATTTTATTTTTAGGGTCAGAGAACTGTATATCGCCTGACTTTGGTGAAATCGTGGAACAGCGAAGAACTCCAAAACTATGCTGACTTGGTATCTGTTGGTCAGCCCGACTTTATTGAAGTAAAGGTAACTTAGTACGAGCACATTTTACCAATAGTGTAGAGAATATACACAACTGGAACGCGCTGAACATTGGCAACTTATGCGGCATGAAGTGAAACAAAAGAGTACCATAAACTGTCGCTCATAAGCTCCCCGTTTATAAGCCCATCTAACTGTAAACAAAAAATACATCAGATTAAATGAGCCCCCTGCTCTCCTAATGTATTGAAATGAATTACAACAACAACAACGACGACAACAACTATTTTTTTTTTGAAAATCAACACTATAACTAATTATATAATTTTCCCACCCGTAAATGTCCTAGGGAGTAAGAGGAAGAGGAAAGACACTTCGATTTAATATGACGGTTTGAACACCAGCGAGAGATCATAATTGGACTGACACCAGTACATGTAAAACATATTTTGATCAGCACTGCTATAGCGTGTCTCGAAGCGCTTTTCCTACTCCGGTTATAATCACCCCAGGATAAGAGCCCCTCGGTTTATATGCCCTGCTAAAACTTCCTTTCGAAGATGTATAAGCCCAGAGCGTATAAGCGGCAGTTTACGGTACTTGCCCTATTAAGTGTCGTCATCATTAATAGGAAACTTAAGCAAGGACGTTTTTAAGCGACTGCGCGTCAACCGTTTTGCGTTACTGGGCAGCAATTTTTCCCAAATTTTCTGGCAATTCGTCTCAGTAAAAGTAAAGATACTTAGCACGACACATTTGGTAGCGTCAAGGTATGTTAAAAGAGAAAAAGGCTCACTTCCGGTTGACGTGCGTCATCCAGAAACGTCTGTTTTTAAGCTACCTAATTAAATGCTTGTGCATGGTGCCATACCAGTGTAAACTTTTCATATCCGCCCGAGAAACTTAACTTAATGTTCCATATGTAAACCTGTCGTGGACGTTAGCTAAACAGCTCTTTCTCGTTTCAGGGTGTAACGTACTGTGGGGAGTCTAAAGCGTCAACTCTAACAATGAAGAATGTACCGTGGCATGAAGAGGTATTTGTAGGGGCTGAATAAGAAATCTTAGGTGAAATTAGTTCATAAAGGTAACAATGACTTGATGCTCTTTTCCTTACTCTTAGGGCGCCTTCCATTTGTCAGTACTGACCGACCAGACCATTCTCGCCGCAATGATAATTTCCCTTTTAATCAAAACTCTCCAGCCAGATCGGTCAAATCCTGAATAGTATTCACCAAAGGAGATGGTTTTTCAGCAAAAACTCTTGGAAAAAGCCATTTCATTTTCAAAATGACTGGTCGGGCAATGGTCCGGCCATCCAGTCCTGACAAATGGAAAGCGCCCTTTAGTAAATCCTTTCACTGCTAATAATAGAGCCTGCGAACGCTGACGTATTTCTGGTCGTCGCTTCTCTCTTCTGTGTTCGCAGGCTATGCTGATAAGAGCCAAAGTAAAAAAATATATATAAAAATAAAAATTCAAAGTTTCGTTTCCGAAAATCATTATATTTGAATAGCTACACCATTCAGGATTTTGTCCCAGATGCAAAAGTTAGAATGTCAAATAATATCACCGTTAATCAGTTTAGAAGGGAAATGGTTACGGTTCCTTTGTAGTCTTCTGTGTGGGTAACATTGAAGAAGGGACAAGTAAAAAAATTCTGCAAACCAACTTAGCACCAGAAAATGCTAGAACGTTTGTTGCAAACAAACTTTATGAAATAAAACTGTATTTCTTTGGATTATATTCCTCAGGTTATCGGCTTCGTTCGGCAGCTAGCTGACTTGCTGCCTGATTACGAGATCGCTTGTGAACACGAACATTCCAATTGCCTCCTCATTGCTCATAAAAAGGTACGATTTAACTTTGTTCAAGGCTAGAACATTCCTTTCTCTCTTATCTTCTCTTTTTGTTCTCTTTCACGATGTGCTTGCACATGTTTGTTTCCAAGGATGCTTCTTGTTTTTTGCTGTTGTAAATTTCTCCATGATTTCTCTAAGTCTTTTAATGCCTGATAACTACTTGTTACATTTGCATCATACCTTTGCCATAAGTGTTTAAGTAAAATTTCATGAACTGTACCAGTCTTTGAGTAACAGTCTTTTAATGTCTGATATGTACTTACTCTTACACCACAACTACGTTGTACGTTTGTAAAACCCCGCGACTAAGAACAAGAACCTGGATTTTTCCAAGTTAGCCTAAACAGGTTCTTATGTAAATGGTAGTTAGCACAAGTTTAGCCTATTTAGACTCTTAAATAGGTTCTTATTTTCTGAAGAAAAAAAATAGAGTATAGCTAAGAGTATTAAGTGTTTCAGCTTATTCCTCGAATAAAACCTGCACACCTTACATTGCAGTTGGAGTGATGAGACACCTTTGTCTCCAAAGAAGATTCTGAATGTTGACTTATCTTCTTTGCCCAAGTGTACAGAATTTTTTCGTAGATCAGTTTTAGAAAATAAGAACCTGTTTCAAATCTGAGGCTAAACAGATTCTTATATAGAGATAACTGGCTAATTTTAGCATAACAGGTTTTTAAAATGTAAGTTCTTAGTTGCTGGGTTTTAATACATTTCATAAGCTGTGCCAGACAACTTATTTTAGAATCTAAAAAGGATTATTGTCTCTTGCATCAAATATAAAAGAGGGCTAGTCATCTTGATCCGAAAACTTGTGGTTTCTTACCCTGGGATTTTACTTTATTTGCAGTTCAAGAAAGATGACGGCTGGTATACGTGGATCGACTACCCAGTATTTCACCAGTTGGTGAGTTTTGGCATTCTATGTATTTCTTCCTCTTTTGATTTGATTGAGCACCATTCATGTCAAACCTTCGGCTATAAAAGCTGTTTAATGTTTTTTGTCCATAAAACCAATTTACCGCAAATGGAGCACAAGTTAGGGCTTTTTTCGGTTTTCAATTTTTACTGATTTTGAATTTGTTAAACCTGCGATGTATATTGTTATTTTAAACATGTTAAGAAACTCATTCATTGTAATATGTGTATAATGGCTGGTTTATCATTTATCTCAAACGATAATTGGTGATCGCGGCGTTTTGAATGCGTACTTCATCAGGCGATTTGTGATAGTCGTCATGGAATTTATCCAGCGAGTGTTCTTAGGGCCTGTTTACATAGAGGTGGGGGACCCCAGGTAGGTGAGGTAACCGGCAGCGGGTCACCCCCCCTATCATGTAAATGTCATCAAATTAAAATAAGAGATTATATGGACAGGTGGGTTACCCCACCTAAGCGGGTTATCTCACCTACCTGGGGACCCCCAACTCCATGTAAACAGGCCCTTGGTTATAATCGAGGTTTGAACCGAGGGCTTCTCTTTGCTGTAGTAACAAAAGATCTTGTACATTGAATATTCGCTTTGGTGTAGTAAGGGGGATAAATCACGTTTTATTATCGGAAAAAATAAATCGGTAAAGCCATAGGCAACTAACGAACTTTCTTTCATTGAAAGTTGTTTTACAAAAGCTGTGAAAAATTCTCTATTGGCTCACCCACCAGGTTGTCCAATACACCCGCACTGTAACGGTCCGTATATTTGAAGAGTGCTTGTTTAGCCTTACGATTTACATAACGACGAATTTCCGATCCGTATCAATCAAGTATACGGACCGTTACCATCTGTACGGATCGAACTGATCGTACGAATCGTAACGCGCTGTGCACTGATATAATAATGAAATACACGCTTCGTATGTGCTCAGAATACGGACTCTTGGTAGCTTTTGACGGTTTGTACGGAGTGACGATCCGTCAACTGCTCTTAACGGTCCGTAACAGTGCGGCAGTATTGGACATGACTGGAGGTTCATGGTTCTACATTTAATTAACTTGTTTGTAACTTTTCCCAATAGATGCAGAAATATGAAGAAAGCAATGGAACAGAGAGCTTTACTGCTTTAGACTACATGGCCAAGACTCCTGATTGGGCTCTAATGGGGCATGCGCAAAGGGGTTTTGACCCGCAGGAGACAAGATGGCACCGCAAGAAAAAGAAAGACATCAGTGGCTGTTAAACAGGCCTGCAATTTCAGCGAAATATAATTAAATTACGAGCCCTAAGGTCTTTTGCGCTAGCAGATCAATGGCCCTATCTGTTAATACAAATTTCTGACCGCTCGAACTAGAAATTGTTTTTCCAGTGATAGATGCATTCGACGGTCCAGCTCCCCGGGGGAAGTAGTAGTCAGTGGAACTGTTACGAAGTAAGGGAGTGGGAACTTGTATTCCTTTATATTATGAGGTGCGATTTATTTAAATCTACACATTTATTTCTACTTTAAATGTACACGGATTTATTTTACAGATGGGCTCTCTCTAGCTAGAAAAAAATGCTATCATTCTTCCCCTTTTTTGTCGTGGAAGTATAGCTCAATTATTTTTGGCGGGTTTCTGGAACGAACCTGTTTCGGTCAGGAACTTTGCAACATACTATAACAGACCTCCTGGGGCCTGTTTCTCGAAAGTCCCGTAGCTTTTCGGACCCGAAAAACTGTTTTATGTTTGCCATGTTTGCATTCAAGATCAAAGTTTCAATAATTTTGAAAATGATACAGTTAACGAAGCAAAATTGGCCAGTGAATGAGCTACGAACTGTGCTACTATTCAACAGGTTTTGATAAATAAATTGAAACTGAACCTGAATTTGAAAATAATTTGCCTTCGGGCCCGTAAAGTTACCGGCTCTTGCGAGACACGAGCCCCTGATCCCTCATTCCCGCTCCTTCTTCACGAAAATCCCGCTTCCCTCTTCCCGCTATTTTTTCTCACCGCTTTCCCGAATTCCTCTTTTGTTTCCAAAAATGATGAATAAAACAAAATCGAAAACTAACTATAGTTTAGTTTGAAAGGAAACAACACTTAACGCACGCCTCGTTGATTCGCATTTGCCGTTCAAACGTATGATTTCCCTAATTTCCAACATACATGCAAAAAAGAAATCCAGCATCGCGTGCTTAAATTTTGGAGAATCTCGTTTCCCTGGTAGCCCTAAAATCCCGTTTGCCGTTAAGATGTCCCAAGTTTTCACGAATCCCGCACCGTATTTTGGTCAACTCCCGGATCCCGAAAATACCCTTCCAGGGGCCCGTTTCTCGAGGCTCCCGGTGATTACCGGGCCCGTTAAGCTGTTTTGTTTTCCATTTTAGAAGGGAGTTTTAAAAGTTTTGAAAATTATACAGTAGAGCGATTAGCTAACGAAACAAAATGGACTTCATTAGAGGTCAGAACACACCCTACTTTTCTTGAGACTTTGATTTAAAAATATGATTCCGGGCCCGTTAAGTTACCGGGACTTTCGAGAAACGGGCCCCTGACCCTGTTCAAGGTCAACTTTTGATGCGCGGTGGGAATAAAGAGAATAAATAAGTAAACCAAAGAATATAGTTCCCGTAGTATCTTTCGTGACAAAGTAATAAGAAAAGTAGAAAAATCAATTTCCCCCAAATGTGATTCAAAAGTGAGGGAAAGTGATTTGTTTAATAACAATGAAAGTAATTCAGTATATAGTTTCCCCTAATCAGACTCGCATCGCCATCGCTCAAGTAAATCAGGCATGTTGCAGTAGTATTCTTTCCTCGTGGAAAGTCCCTTTTAGAAATACGATTTTTCCTAGTTTAGTGAACCATTCACTTAAATTTAACGTTTTCTTGTTGATTTAAGGCTTAGTATTTAAAGTTTGGTATCAAAATTGTGACTGAAAGTCAACCTCTTATTACAAATTAATCTGTCGCATTTAGGGAAGTCAAAATAACAAATAATCCCGCGATCCTGCGACTTTCACTTTTACCATGATGCAATTTGGTTTCCCCACAGACTTTTGCATCATAAGTTTCTCAAAGGGAGATTGTTTAAGCCCAAGCGAAATTGAAAACAACACTTAGGTAAAATTCATGGGGAACTTGAACACGTCCAATAGAGCCTCACCAAGTTAAGCAAAGTTCTAATTACTCACATCGTTTCAATCTTTGTCTGAAAGGTACTAGTCGACAGTTTTTTGAGAGCAAACCTCCGAAAGCCATAACCTCTAGATACTGTTGACCATGAAGGTAACTAGGGTTATTATGCAGAGTCAGGGGCTCCCGAGAACAAACCAGTCGCAGACGTCGCCAGTCAAACGCTGCAAACGATTGTCTTACGTGTAGGATTAGTTTATTTCAAACGAAATTTCCATTTTTTTCAATGGCCCAATAGCTCAGTTATCAGGGCTTTCTGTATCATTCTGTATAGTAGTTCCCAGTCTTTCATTTCATTGTCCCCTTCTAAAGCGGGAAAGATATATAGGAATGCAAAAAGAGCTAGTTCAGTAGGAGTATTGTTAAAAAAGGCAAAAAGCACTTACTTTTAAATGGATCGCTGCCATTATTCGTCCAACAGGGCAGGGGCAGATCCAGGAATTTTTTATTGGGGAGGGATGAGGGGAGGTCCAGATCATAGGAGGGACCTTATGAGTGTTTTATGTAAATCTACTTTACATAACACACTCATAACGTGAGCTTAGGATGCCTGTGCTTTCGGCTTCTGACTGATGTCCTTGACTCTCGTCATAATGTCTATCCGGGTTTACGACCCCAGCCTTACGCCATAGTATCCACAAAGGCTGAGGTTTTCCCCGGGGACACTATTCTGAGATTCATTCACCAATCACAACACCGGAAATTACTCGCGTCATGGCATTGACATTACAACCAATCAGAGGTTTTCCCCATATTCCGATTTTTTTCTGAGGGGGGTGGGGGGCGGGGGTCTGTGCACAGGTGATCGTGATGAGCAGAGCAAAACAAGGGAGTCGCCTTTAACCCTCTAAGCCCCGGTATCAACATACTCGGATCTAGGATTTTTCTTGTAAAAAGAAAATTGAATTTTGTTGTGATTTCTCAGACCATTGATTGGGAGTAAAAGCAAAAAACAGCAACAAAACTTTGTTCCCAGCGCTTTCTGATCAATTTTGTAGGATTAAAGAAAACAATTTTTTTTCCTTAGAAATTAAATGCAGATACGTGGAGTTTTGAGTAGTCTGCTACACAGCCGTTTTTAGTGTCGTCACGCAACGCTCCTCCCCAGCAGACTAAGTTTTGAGAGACTGAGGCACATCCGTTAGGAATCCATGACATCGTCTCTTTCGAGCTGCCTCGGGTAGTTTCCTTTGTAATGTTTTAGCTTTCAGTGCATTCTAGCCACAGACATACTTATCACGTTCATTCGGCCAAAACTCCTTTGACAATATTGGTTCCTTCACGTCACTGAATTGATATGTTGCTTTTCGCATTCTCTGCAAATCTGCTTCATTCTCAAATCTTCTATTTGTTTATACAGTTTCTTGGTTTGTCTACAACCCACCAATTAAAAGGATATATACTTTTAAGAACAAGCAGGATATCTTTTGGTACGTACATATCAAAATCACCAAATCGAGCCTTGGGTAATAACCCCTCTACAGCACTTGAGGGGAAAGAGAAATAAAGATTGTAGTTAATCGGTGCCAGCCATGTTTCCCATCCTGTTCGTTTCATAGTACCTCGGTAATCATAAAATATGAAGACATCAACCCAGCCGAAAGGACAAATGTTTTGATTGAATATACCAACAATGCCATTTCGATCCAGACGCTCTTTTAACGTAAAACCCTTGGTTGTGAAAGCGGAAAGAAATTTCTCCCGAAACAGACTCTGATAGTGAACATCGTCTCCAGAGAGCCCAATATCTACATCGTCATCCCAAAGAAGTGGATTGTAAAGTTTTCTTTGAATACCCCAAAGTGATCCAAACATCAACCAGTGTTTAATTTGAAGTTCGTCAAGTACTTTATGCACCTCATGTGCTAAGTCCACTAATTGTTGAATCTCCTGAGCGCTTTTTTTACAATTCACCGGTCTGTTGCCCGCTCTGGAAACCATACTGGGTGCTTGTAGGTTTCTATATGTGTAGTAAAACAAGGTTAAAAAACTTATCAGCCAAAATGATTTGCGAACGGACAGCTTCATGTTTTTGAATGTTTAGAACTCCTGGCTTCGGCTAGCCTCCCCCGCAGACGTTCTTAGGGGTTGGTCACACGTGAGGCTATGGCACCGCTGGCTACGCCATTTTCGCAATTGCGAGGTAAAGGATAAATATATTTTGTAACGTTTTGTTAGTTTCACAAGAGCATGTATATTAGGTTGCATAATACTGCTGAAGTATTTAAGGCGGCTTGTAAGGTGTCCCAAGGGGCTAGTACACTATTTAAGGTTTGTTAAGTTATGCAAGAGCCATTCGAGGCATCTCTTTCAACTCTAGTTTTTATGCCATGTCGGGTTTTGAAACAGCGAGCGTCCCTCAAGCGTCTTTGGAAACTAACAACACCGGAGACTCTGCTCAACCGAGTGCTCTTTCCTCGGATACGTCCTTATCAAACGCTGAAACTTTGCAGTTATTTTCCCAACTTTTGGACGTCAAATTTGATCAAAAGTTCGCTGCCTTTAAGCGCGATCTCGAGGACAAAGAAGCTGCCACACAATAGCAGCTTAAGAAGCTGAAAACCGAATCGAAAGCGTCAAATTCCTTTACTTTCAAGGGCAACAAAGTACAGTACGAACTTAACATCTCTTTGCACGACTTAGTGGACGGTGCCATTAAGAACGTCTCAAAAGGGAACCTTTCAGCAGCGATTTCCGAACTTGAATCGGTAAAGACACTTATTACAAAACGAAACAAGCTTATTCGCTTTGCGGATAAGAGTCCTACCAGGGGCACCCAACGGGAAATTTTGAGAAAAAGACCTAAAAACAACAACAAAGCGTGAATAAAGTTTTCTGAGACTATTTTAAGCATTTTGGGAGATTGCTGGAAAAAAATTATCTGTTCCTCACTCCCAGCAAGACTGATGGAAGAGTTCCCAGCCAGCAACCTTACAACCTGCAACCTGACTTACTGGGAAGTTTCATAGGGCACAATTCAGATCTTGAGTGGTAAGCAACCCATACAAGTAACCCGTAGCAGCTATTCTAGACTTCAAATCCCCTCTGACATCCTGAATTATCTTTTTCCCAGCAACACTTTCCCTCCAAGGACTATTATTTCTTCCACATCTCCCAGCCAGCAAAAATTTGCATGAAGAACAGATATTTTGAGGAACAGATCCATTGGGTGCCCCTGTCCTACGGGCTGGACAGCCGTTGAAGAGTACGAATCAGATGAGTTGGCGGAGGATTCTGAGGATGAAAAGAGGCTTCGTTCAGCAGAAAGACGGGCATTGGCCAAGATCCGCGAGAAGAAGCGTAGGAATTCTTCTGCCCGACCTAGCTATACAAGTACCCGTCAGCCATCGAGTGAAGCTTCTTCTGTTCGTTCTTCCAATACTCTTCCTGTTAATCAGCAGCTTTTTCGTGGGCAGTCCTTTCGCGAGCGTCGACCTCAACCTTCGGACAAGTG